TAGAGTATGATTTGGGAAATAAGAGGAAGAAGAGAAAAAAAAACAACAGTTGACTCCAGTATATAAATATATACACAGATATGCATACTGAGTCACAGCTGCAGTCAAAAAGGGTTTAGAGAGACACTACTTTAGAAGATGATCAGCTATAGTTTGGAAATGGGAAAGCTTCTAGCCTGCACCTATTCTGGTTCATTCTGGAATTTATGGATTTTCAGGGATTTCAGATCATTCTGAAAGTATTAAGCTATTGATTTAGGTGTGACCTCCCTATCTGGCACTTATTCTAATAGGTTCAGTTTTCTTAGAAGTATCTGAAACCATTTCATCCTCTGTGGTTTTCTGAACCTACTAATCCAGCCCAGGACAGACTAGGAAAAAACATCAAGCTTCAATCAAAAGAGCAACCTGAGGTTCAGTCTATTATAAGTCTCTACTCTGGGTAGGTTCCCAAGATCCCCATGACTTCCCAGAGCACAGGGTACAGTGAGGTGGAGAAAACAGTCACTCCAAACCTCCCAGCTTGAAAACTTCATCCTGGGAGCTCTGTCAGCCTATAGTAGCTAATATTTGTCTAAGATAAATGTGGTTTAAAAAAAAAAAAAAGTTGTCAAGTCAATTCCGACTCATAGCGACCCTATAGGACAGAGTAGATCTGCCCCATGGGGTTTCCAAGGAGCAGCTGCTGGATTCAAACTGCTGACCGTTTGGTTAGCAGCCAAGCTCTTAATCACTGTGCCACCAGGGCTCCAAGATATATGTGGTGGGGCTTTAATATTTTATGTGGAAATATAGGTTTTTTTTTCTAGTTAAATGATACTTCATGTGTGTGTGACATTTTAAAATATAACTTATTTTTGTTGCTGTTGAGAATATACACAACATACACAAATTCAACAATTTCTCCATGTATGAGTACAATTCAATGACACAGAAATATAATTTTATACATCTGCTACAATTTGTATCTCAGCAAAGAATGCATTTTAACATATTACACAATTGTTGCAACTTCTATGCTTGTTCATGAGGAGAGAAGAATACAAAAAGATTTTCCGGTAACTCATAAAACTGATGAAGGGGAACATAATAAAAAAAAAAAAAAGAATTAAATTGCTGACAAGAATTCTACTAAATTCCAAGTAACTAAGTGTGCATATGTATCTTGAAAATTTTATTCATTTTAAGATTTTCTTAAATGTTCCTTGAACTTAAAAACTTTTCATTTTCAGAACTTCATAACATTAAAATAACTAGTAAATATTTACCTGTATATATCTTTTCAGTTTTTGAAGAGGTTTTTGAAAAAGGAATTCTTTTTCGCCAGGCTGAACCATTATAAGATGCCGACATATATTTGTCTGAGAAAAAAAAGGAGACTGGAATTAAATATTTTATAACTTTAAAAACATATTCCAAGGGTGTTTCAAAGTTATAGACTGCCCTATGGGTAAAGCTATTCTTTAAGTAATTCATCTTACTATTACAAAGTTGAAGGAAGCATCATGGATACAAATGAGTTCATTAAGATCATTTACGTTATCAGTGAACATAGTTACAGATCTCTTAAGTGGCTGTCCAATTTCTCAAATACGGCTCTCTCCCACGAGGCTGAGCTAGCAAAGAGTTGTGATATCTGAACGTGATCAAAATATTTCATTGCCTTGCTTTACCACGATTTTACATACAGTTCTAATGTTTGTAGTGCTAAAAAACAAAACCAATCCTATAAAGTGTGGCCCAATTACCTATTCCTTCCATGAAGTGACTCCCATGAACACAGTAATGGCTCTGGCATAGTGAACTCACTGCCTCAGGAAACCAAAGAATTTATGTACAAACCTGGTCCTTAAATGCCTACTTATCTCTGATATCTCTACATTTGAACTGTTATTGAATAAGATTATATTTTGTTTTTAAATACTATTATGTCGCTGCAGTTCTCAAAATATAGTCCATAGTGACACTGAGAATTTTCTTGTGTTTTTCTCTGTTGACATTTGCGCGAATAGTGCAAAAGCAATAGTGAGTAAAACTGCTGATACCTCAGCACAAATCTAGACATTGGCACCAAACTGTTCTAGAAATCATTGTATTCATCACAGCTATGCACTGACAGTAAAATAATAATAATAAAAAGCGAGTCTCAACTAAGAATATCCTTACTTAAGAATGTCATTACTGAAGCAGTAAAAATTGTTACTAAACCGTAAACTATGACTATAGTCTTTTACATACGCTGTGTGAAAAAATGAGAAGTATACAGAAAGCACTAAAAGTATTAAAAGAAAAGCATCTTGGACTTTGTTTTAAATCTTGAAGTAGACAATACCTTTCTAAGCAAGATATATAACTAAAAAGACATGAGAGAAATCTGATAAATTTGACTGAAAATTTCTAAAGGAGAAAAAAAATATCAGCATAAACAAAGTGCAAAATCAAATTATCTGTGAAAAATATTTGCAATAATTATAGCAAACGAAGTACTTCCATAAAGTAGTTTCCTTCATTCCTTGCCCTGATGTTTAGCTCTCCTCTGAAGACACTACTTAACCTGTAGCCCCATCAGGTAATGGCAGTTTATTTTTCTTATCCCAGGATGGGAAGATGAGACAGATGTTTCCTTGCTTCCCACTGCCACTTTCAGACCATTTCTTGTAAAATATCTGCTCCTTTGAAGCATATGTCACTGGTAAGCTAGACAATCCTCTCCTACATTTTGTTGCTGTCATTTAGCAAACTTTTTTTTATGACATCATTGCTGATGTCAGATGGATCTTGGCTGAAAGCAGAGAATGCCAGAAAGATGTTTACCTGTGTTTTATTGATTCTGCAAAGGCATTCAACTGTGCAGATCATAACAAATTACAGATAACATTGTGAAGAATGGGAATTCCAG